GGCGGCGGCAACAATACTACAGCGAGAATCAAAGTTACGCCTTCTTTCTTTGCGTGAACGTTTGGGCGGCGTTATGCAAATCTTCCCGCATAGTGAGGTAGATATGTGGGGGCGTGTTCGAACGAGCCGTTTTAGGTAGGTGTGGCTAACTCATAACTTTTATAAAGAATATCTCTTTGGATTTGAGACTTTAGTCTTTGCAACTTTACAGATCTTCTTTATGCACCAAGAGCTTGTAACACTCCAAAGAGAAAGGAAAAAATGAAATCGCATCATATGACCCCTTTAACGCAGTACACATAGCAAGGTTTTTTTTAAATAATATAATAAATAAAAAAGAAAACAGATAGAATAGAAAAAGAGTAGAGCAAGCTAGTGTTAGAGGTCTTTTTTGCTTTTGTTAATTGTATAATAAATGAAAAGAAAACAGATAGAATACAAAAAGTTTAGAAAGCAAGTGTTCGTTTTTTTTTTTTTTAAAGAAAACAACCAGCAAATGAATAGAGTGCAGGTCTAAAAGGGACAAGTGTTTTTTTTTTTAAGAATAGAATTAGAATAGAAAGTGTTAGAGTTAGAATGTCAAATAAAGGTGGAACAGATGTGTTTTAGTCGTTTCTTGAAGATGGGTAAGGACTCAGCTGCTCGGGTTGAGTTAGGCAGGTCATTCCACCAGGAGGGAACATTTAATGTAAAAGTCCGTGAAAGGGATTTTGTGTCTCTTTGGGATGAACAATAAAGCGTTGTTCACTTGGAGAACACAAGCTTCTAGAGGGCACATAACTCTGAAGTAATGAATTTAGGTAAAGGGGTGCAGAGCCAGTGGTGGTTTTGTAGGCAAACATTAATGCCTTGAATTTAATGCGAGCAGCTACTGGTAGCCAGTGCAAACTGATAAACAGAGGTGTAACGTGCATTCTTTTCGGCTCATTAAAGATTAATCTGGCAACGGCATTTTGGATTAATTGGATTAATTGTAAAGGCCTGCCAAGAGAGCATTGCAAACCTGCCAAGAGAGCATTGCAAGAGCTTGAACAAGGAGTTGTGAAGCATGTTCAGAAAGAAAGGACCCGATCGAGACATATTGAGACACATGTGTACATATAGTCTCTTACAATCAATATCCCACATATAGTAGCCTAATGTGTAAATTTTAGTGGTCACTGGGCCTCTACTCAGACAAGCAGACCCTTGTGGCCCTTTCAGCACTTCAGTTCAGAATCACATAATATGCATATGAACCATTTACAGCTAGAAAACCACATCAATGTTTTCATCTCTTGTGCTCAATTAACTTGTTCTTAAGTGACTACTTATTTCAGAATTAAATGAAACCGTTGGTTCATGTAGCATTCAAGGTCATGGGTTTTCATGGGTTTGTTTCCCAGAGAATGCATGAAAGGATAAAATGTATATGTGACCCTGGAGCACAAAAGCAGTCTTAAGTCGCTGGGTATATTTGTAGCAATAGCCAACAATACATTGTATGGGTCAAAATTATCCATTTTTATTTTTTGTCAAAAATCATTAGGATATTAAGTAAAGATCATGTTCCATGAAGATAGTTTGTCAAATTTCTACCGTAAAAATATATTAGTAGCCTTTATTAGTAATATGCATTGCTAAGGACTTCATTTGGACAACTTTAAAGATGATTTTCTCAATATTAAGATTTTTTTGCACCCTCAGATTCCAGATTTTCAAATAGTTGTATCTCGACCAAATATTGTCCTATCCTAACAAACCATACATCAATGGAAAGCTTATTTATTCAGCAGATGTATGAAAAAATTTACCCTTATGACTGGTTTCGTGGTACAGGGTCACATACTGCATATACCTTGAAATGCAATGCAAGTTGTCTTGGATAAAAACGGCTACCAAATGTGTAAGTAAAAACTTTATTTCAGACAATGTCTATGTAAGCAAGAATTACAAAGTGGAAGTACTAACCACAGTACTAACATGATCCGTCCACAGTTCATTTATTTGTAAAATAATTACTTTATACCCCATAATATGCACATATTCATGCAAAATGGCAACAGAATTGTAGTGTTTTGTTCTTTTTTAGAGTGAATTAGATGACAGCTCACTAGAAAAGAGAGCTCAACATCAATGTAAATCAAGAGAAACTAGTTTTTGAGTTTTAAATTTTTCAATAATTAAAATTGTACAACAGATAATTTTTGTTTTGAAGAGGTAAAAAAAAAATTGCCTGTGTTGCGTAATGTATAACTAACCTATCTAAAATACAAAGGCAATACAACTCACTCCTCAAAGTTCACTTGAACACCTTCATCTACAAGCAGCTTCAGATAGAGCTGATTTTCACTCTAACTGGTACGATCCTCAGCGGGGACGTTTCACAAATACTCTGAAAGAATGGAAAGAGCGTCTCTCTAAAGGTGGTCTTGAATGTACGCAGTGGTGTGTTATTTACAGGGTCAGAGAACGACACGTTTCCACTGTCCCAGTCCAGATGAACTCTCATGCGCCGGAGCTTGTCTTTAACGGGAAAGCGAGCGGCGGGTTGTTCAGGAGACTGCGACAAGTACTCTTTCCCCGTGTACTGCACGTACCAGACACCTTCTCTGAAGAAAGCATCTCCTTTCCTTTGGTACGAGGCTGCGATTATTCCCACAGTCCAAGCTGAATTGTTCCCCACCTCCACGTCCCAGCAGTGTGTTCCTGATTTAAAGCCCTCCGAACCCAAAACACAGCGAAAGAAGTCAAATCTCTCTGGATTATCAGGAAGCGGTCGCCTGCTCTTGTTGTATGTCAGACTGGTCAGATCATCAGACAGGACGAGTTGTGGACTTGCAGTGTTTGGGTCCAGAACCACTGGAGCTGATGAGAGCAAACAATCAGCAACTGCTCTTATTCAGATATTAACAGAAGACTCTTTCAAGAGTAGAGCCATAAAAAATACTTAATAATAATGCTAATTAAATTAACTATACTGTTGAGATGTTATCAGAACTAGTATGATCCTCACTTACTACAACACCTTCAAATAATCTGCTTTTGTTTCTATGTTTTGTGGGAATCACCACTATTCACAGCACAGATGTTGGTCCCACTTTATATTAAGTGGTTTTAAATACTATGTTACATGAAAAAATAAGTACAATGTACTTATTGTGTTCAAATTATTGTGTTCAAATAGTTTTGCAAAACACGGTAACACTTTATTTTAAGGTGTCCTTGTTACATGTACGTACTATTATAATTACAATTAATTATGCATAATTACGTGCAAGTAACTCTAATCCTAACCCTAACCATATAGTAAGTACATGTAGTTAATTAATATTACGCAGTACTTAAATGTATAATTACACTGTAACAAGGACACCTTAAAATAAAGTGTAACCCAAAACACTTCTGCTGCTGTTGAGGTGGGATGCGGGTGAGGTTAGGGACAGGTTTGGTGGTCTGGGTAGATTTAAGGGTGGGTTAAGGTGTAAGGGTATGGGGTCAACAGTATAATTATACATTTAGTTATAGAAATTAGTTACAGATGTAATCACATGCAGGTAATTTTAAAAATATAAGTACATTGTAAAAACGTATGTATACACAATAGGTGCATTGTATCAAATGATTAATTTAAATGCAAGTACATAGTAGTTTAGTGACTCACTGTTTTGGACAATGTCTTGCATCTTCTTCCAGACTCTGAATGCCAGATTGCCCAAGTAATTCGGTACATCAATCAAAGCTCCACAGCACCTCTCTGGATCGGACTGAGTGCCACGGGCTCTGGAATAACATGCGGGTGTCAGTACAGCAGTGAGTTTGGGCTCAAAATGGGCTCAGAATGCCATAACCAAAAACCCCTCTGGAGAACTTCTAGCTTCCTTTTAAAAAGGACAATTCTCTGAATGGAAGCCATAAGTTCCTGCAAAAACTCTCCAGATTGTCAATGGTTCCTCAACCCTGTTGAAAAAACCAACATATGCTGGTTAGGTATGTTTTGAAACATGGCAGCTGGTTTGAACTGGTTTAAGCTAGTCATGTGCTGGTCCTGAGCAACTAGGACCAGCTGAGGACCAGCTCAAAGCAGCTCAGGACCAGCTTAAACCAGCTCAGGACCAGATAAAACCAGCTTAAAACAGTTTAGGACCAGCTGAGGACCAGCTCAAACCAGCTCAGGACCGGCTAAGGACCAGCTTAAACCAGCTCTGGACCGGCTAAGGACCAGATTAAACCAGCTGAGAACCATCTTAAACCAGCTCAGGACCAGCTGAGGACCAGCTCAGGACCAGTTAAGGACCATCTTAAACCAGCTCAGGACCAGCTTATAACCAGCTCAGGATCAGCTTATAACCAGCTCAGGACCGGCTTAAACCAGCTTATAACCAGCTCAGGTCCAGCTTATAACCAGCTCATAACCAGCTTATAACCAGCTCAGGACCTTCTTATAACCAGCTCAGGCCCATCTTAAACCAGCTCAAACCAGCTTTCATGCTTCAAAACAACTATAACCAACATATGCTGTTGTTTTTTTTTTCAACAGGGAAGTAACCCCATAATAAGATAAGTTTTGAGGCACTTGAAATATAGTTCTTTGAGTACACAATAGGATATTTGAGACACCCTGAGAAGGTTCCTAGAGGTTCTCCAAAGTGTTCTTCAGAACTAACAGGGTGCTTTTTGTTTGCCATACAGTGTGGAGAGGAGAGACAGGGGCAGCTTGCTTACCTTTCCTTTGTGACATTAAAGTTCTGGGGAAAAAACAGTGTGGAAAGCACATTATTATCTCAATAAGTGTATGAATGAATGAGTCTCTCATACAGAGGGTGATTATCACCTTCAGAAACGAGACGTCATTGGCTTTCATTCTTTCCTCGATGTCTTTGATGGTGTGTGAAAGAGCTGAGATGTGTCTGTTCATCTCCTCCAGCTTCTCCTTCATCATCTGATTCTTCTTCTCCACTTCCTTTCTCAGTGCAGAGATCGTAGCTTGTTCTTCATCAATGAGAAACTGATGAAGCTTCTCAAACTCATGTTGAACCTGACGCTCTGTGTGCTCAGCTTGAGTCTGAAATCACATCACATTCGGTTCAATCAGCTCTGCATTAACACACAACAGATGACAGCATTTACATGATATGCAAGTCAGCATTTAAATATATATATACTTATTTTTCACTAGGGAGTGAAGTGTGCGAAAAGAAGTGTGCTTCACTGTATTGAATGTGCACTTAAAGGAACACTCCACTATTTTTGAAAATAGGCTCATTTTCCAACTCCCCTAGAGTTAAACAGTTGAGTTTTACAGGTTTCGAATCCATTCAGCCAATCTCTGGGTCTGGCGGTAGCACTTTTAGCTTAGCTTAGCATAGATAATTGAATCGGTGCTGCAGGCGCAATGATATTGCCTGAAAATAGTCCCCAGCACGCTCCCTGTGCAAGCAGGTGGTCACGTTGGTTATGTTGACGGAAGTTAGCCTATTTTCAGGCGCTGCGTAATATCATTGCGCCTGCTGCACCCATGGTACGGCAGCAAAGTTCCTGGATTATTACACCGGAACTCTTGGGGAGTTGGAAAATGAACCTATTTTCAAAAATAGTGGAGTGTTCTTTTAAGATAGATTTTAAAAAAAAAAACACAATGCACATTTTATATTAATGAAATTAAAGGCCTCTTAAGTTTACTTAAAGAAAGAGACTTTTGTCACGATTCACTACAGTGCGGGAGCGCGGAACGAGGAGACCAGGAGTACATCAACACAGGAGATTTTAATGTCTTTAAGGGAACCAGGAAAAACACACGTAGCAGGAGAGGTTGACACATTCACAGATATTCAATACCTGACGCTGGAGACAAGGAAACACAGGGCTTAAGTACAGGGGAACAAATGGGACACACCTGGGAACAAATGAACTGAAAGGGGAACACCTGTAACATAATGACAGGAACGGGAAGGACCAAATAAGGGCATAAGGAAATATAGGCAGCAAAACACACACAAAACACGGAACAGAGTCTGACATTACTCCCCTCCAGGGCGGATCAGGCAGTCCAGGTTGCCATGGCGGCACAGGGAGCTCAGGGGCCATGACGGAGCAGGGAGCTCGGGGCGCCATGGTGGAGCAGGCAGACTAGGAAGCCATGGCGGAGCAGACAGTTCAAGGGAGCTCAGGGGCCATGGCGGAGCAGGCAGCTCGGGGAGCCACGGCGGAGCAGGGAACTCAGAAGGCCATGGCTGGACGGCCTCCGTGGCCTTGGCCTCGCCACTCAGCCTGGCCACTACGGACAGACCCATACTACCCCCCCAAAAAAAATCCTTGGGGAGAATATAATCTTTAGATGCCCTCCGTAGGCCTAACTCGGGAACAGTGGCCCTCCGTGGGCTAAACTCGGGAACAGGAGCCCACCGTGGGCTAAATTCGGCGGCTGGAGCCGACACTGGAGTGAGCTCTGGGGCTGGAGCCGACTGACTGAGGAACCGCTGGCGGGCTTGACAGCAGAGATTCCGGCGGACTTGAGCGAGCGGCGGCCCTCGAACTTGACTTTGGAGCAGCCGGAGGGCTGGAGAGAGCCGCGGCCGGCGGGCTAGTTCTGGCTCGGGCCCGGACACTCCCCAGACACCGGAAGATCCCTTCCCTCCAGCATAGTCCCTTGGTGTCTGGGAGGTCCATGGGGCGATGGTAGTTGGCCCCGAGCCAGAACAGAGAATTGATGGTGGCGTCATCCAATGCCATCGCCGCGGCGAGCCCGCAGAATTCCCAGGCATACTCAAAGAAGGGGAGATCTCGGCGGGCTAAGGCGGAGAACCGAGCGGCTATTTCCATCGCCGCGGGGAGAAATAAACGGGAAACAAAAAACTTTTCAAAAAACGGAAAAACAAACAAGGAGAGAGGGGCCTTACATTGGTCAGGTATTCTGTCACGATTCACTATGGTGCGGGAGCACGGAGCGAGGAACGAGGAGACCAGGACTACATCAACACAGAAGATTTTACTGTCTTTAAGGGAACCAGGAAAAACACACGTAGCAGGAGAGGTTGACACATTCACAGACATACTTTTAGGACTATGTTTCTTAAAACACTTAAGTACACTTTTGTATTAATGCCAATCTTAAAAAAAGCAAAAAAGTTCAGAATCTTTACCTTTATGTGTTGAACAGTTTTATTGTACTCTCCTCTCATCTCTTCTCTGTATTTAAGTTTTTCTCGTAAGGACTTCAGTGCTGTTTTAAGCTCCTCCTAGAATTTAAAAGATGGTTGAATTCTTCACAAATATGTGAAAATCAGTGAACTGTGAGGATATTTGAACATGTGATATACTCTTAAAAATAAAGGCGAAAGAAGGTTCTTCAGATTATAAAAAGGTAAGAAAGAGATGGTTCTTTAAAGAACCTTTGACTGAATGGTTCTTTGTAGAACCAAAAATGGTTCTTCTATGGCATCGCTGCGAAGAACCTTTTAAGCACCTTTATTTTGAGTGTTAAATTGTATTTAAGCAAATTTTAAAAAGTGTTTAAAAAAATTAGAATTTAAATCAATCAATGAAGGAATTAACAATTAATGAAACAACCAAAAATGATCAAAATATGAAACTATTTTTAGCTAACAAGATTGTTATTAAATAAATTGTATAAACTTGTTATCTAAGTATTTTTAGAGACAGTTAAAGGGTTTAAAATTTAAGTGGCCAGGTATTCAATTATAGGTCCAAGATGAGCTGTGTCTATTGTGTAATCAATGTATTATGAGCATTTTTTTTCATATGCATTGTAAACTGCAGTGTGAATTTGTGAGAAACCAATTTGTGATCATGGATTAAAGCTGATAACTGGATCAGACAGATGGTTTGATCTCTTTTGGCCCCCTTCACTCCAGCTTTCCAGTCTACCTTTTTACCAAGTTTTTTTGAAAACTGTGAGGAGAACTGACCTGTGCTGAAAAGAGTGACACTTTAAAACCTGCCTTGTTTAAACACCACACCAGAGGGCGATAGAGGGACACTTCACCCAAAAATTAAAATGTACTCATCCTCAAATTATTCCAAACCTGTATGAGTTTCTTTCTTCTGTTGAACATAAAAGAAGACATTTTGAAGAATGTTGGTAACCAAACAGTTGCACGTAGCCATCTATGAAAATCAATGCGACTCATATGGTTTGAAAGCTTCATTAGTGCATCCCAAAGCAGAGTATAGAAATCAATGTGCCTCAGGACTTTTTTAAGTGTAATGCCTGAATGCTGTAAAAATAAAAAACTGCTTTGTTCTGGTTGTAAGGTCAGGCAAAGACACTGATGAAACTCATTAAGTGAAAAATGACCTGGAACATAAAATAGTTGATTACATTAATATAATACGTCTGCAAACAAATATTGAGTGTGTGTGTGTGTGCGTGCGTGCGTGCGTGCGTGCGTGCGTGCGAGCGAGCGAGCGAGCGAGAGAGAGAGAGAGAGAGCGAGAGAGAGAGAGAGAGA